GATCTGCCTGTTCTGCTCCCCACTCTGTCTCTGGTGAAGCCTCTCACTGCTCCTGAGCCTCTGGCCTGTACCCCAGTTCTGTATGCACAAATAAATAAATCTTTAAAAAAAAAAAAGTGTAGGAGTCCAGAGGATGTAAAGCAGATGGAGGTTCCTTTCTTGGGGTTGTAAAATATACATGGAAAATGATGGGAAATAAAGCTAAAACTAAAATCCCTCAAAATCCTTACAGAATGTTTCCGAGAGAGGGTAACAGATATAGAAACATTTTTATTCCCCTAAATAGATGCCGGCTTGAATCTAGAGTAGAGGTGCTGCCGCAGAATTGGGTGCCAATTCAAGCTTTTAGGATAGTCACAGCGAAGGGAGAGTGGGGAGGGAGCGAGAGGACTGTGGACAGAATGTACATATTCTACATAGTTCTCACAGGTCCCATCCCTGCTAGCAAAAGGAAACAAAGGAGCAATGAAAAGTGTCTTAGTTTCCCTGCATTTGACATTGAGCAACAGATAGGAAAATAAAGGAGCAAGACCCTGCCCTTACTGAACCTCATTGAGAGAACAATACAGAAAATGCCATTCTCTTGGCACTGTGCTCAGCTACTTAGCATATTTATTTCAAAGCCTATCAGAAAAGGTTTCACAATAGAGTGAATGTACGTAATGCCATTACACACACTGTACACTGAAAAATGACGTAAGTGGTGCTATAGTTTAGGAAAGTAAATAACTGCTTTTTGGTTTTTGTTTTTTTTTTTAAAGAGCCTCTCAGAAGTGAACAATCAGTGGTAGAGTAGTGGACAGTCCCAGTCAATTGTGGCCTGAATACACAGCGGAAAGGATGACTGCGGGTAAAAGCATCCACTGCGAGTTAACACTAAGCAGCCCTGCACAGGCTGGGTTTAGACTCCTTGGGTTTATACTAGATGGATGACAGAAAAGGTTGCTTAAATTCTTCTGAATCTAGTTTCTTATGTGTAAAATGGGGAAAGAAGCACAGGTCCATAGATTTTGGGGTATATTAAAGATAGCTATTAACTTTTTTTAAGATTTATTTATTTTTAAATACTTACTTATTTATACATACAGAACTGTGGTACAGACCAGAGGTGCAGGGGCAGTGAGAGGATTCACCAGAGACAGAGTGGGGAGCAGAACAGGCTGACTGAGAGGTACACTGCTGAGGGGAGCAGCAGGCGGGGTCAGGAGAGGTCTGTTGTTCTAATTCTGAGCCTACACTTTAAGAAAGGTTGGAAGCTTCTGCCTTTGGGAAGTACTAACTACCATTTTCTTTTATATAAACAGTTTATTTTTACATCATTTTGTACATTTTTTTCCATCTCAATTGTAATCCCCACGGGTTTCCCATCACCAAGTCACCCATATGCCATCACCATAATACTAACTACCATTTTAAGAAGTTCAGCCACCATGTTAGAGAAACCCCTTGGAAAAGACACATGGAGAAGGAAAGCTAAGACTACAGGAAGAACATGAAGAGGGAGACAACCTAACCATCCCCTCATCCCAGACAACCATCCCTGATGGTTCCAGCTCCATTCAGTATCTGGGCAATTTTAGGAAAAACCCCGAACAACATCAATTGAGCCTAGAACTAAGATAATAAATGGTTGTTGTTTTAAGTTACTGAGTTTGGGGGTAGTTCTTTACACAGCAATACATTGCTGACACGTTCTTTTATTCATAATCCTTGGGACTCGCTATATTTTGGAATTGAGTTTTTTTAATTTTAAAAAGTTAATACAGTGCATATGCCACAGGTTGTATGGGTACCTTCAGCAAGGTCTTTTGCATAAATGAACACATTTACATTTCTGCAGCAAAATGACACTAGTTACACTAAATACATTAGTTACACTAGCAAAATTACACTAGTAAAAAGTTACACTAAGAAAAATACACTAGCTACACTAACTGCACTAGTTACACTAACTGCTTTAAATAAGGATTAAAAATAGCTTAATGACCAATGAATCATGGTACCAAACTAAAAATCTTTTGTATTTTTGAAATTGTTAAGAGCTTATGGAGCCACAATCATCCCAAACGGTAAAGATTATGTGAGATAATGTGTGGAAAGCACACAAACAGTACCTGGCATGTAGTAAATGCTATTATTAATCACTAATGGTTAGAATTCTAGGAATTTGGGATCGGGGTGTTGAGCACAGAGGTAAGGAGAGCCTGACCTGATCGTAATCCTCAGGTCCAAAGGGTGCATCCTGCTGCAAAATATGGTGCAGTCGAGCTTTCACCCGGTGCTGGCAGCTACTTAAGGAATCACTATCGCTGTCCAGAAGCCCATTCATGTTGGCACTCTTCACCATTTGTACCAAAATGGGTGTCAGCTCCCCTTCCAGAGCCAGAAGACCCTAAGCAGGAAAGCACAAAATCTGGTTGTGTCTCTCTCAGTCTAGTCCCCCAGCTCTGGTTGGTCCCAGAGATAAAATTAAAATGGGGTACAGGTCAAGAGATCTCCTCCCATTATTCTCAGCTCATTTTCCGTAGCACAGAATGGGATGAGACACAGCAGGAAGTTCTTTCAACTGGCACACAACACCCTGAAATGACCTAATTAATTCTCCAAACACTCTGCTTCTCTGTCTAATAAAAGCTGGGTTTGTGGAAGAATTGAAATGTGCACCTTGGCAAAGGCAGCAGCAGTCATCTGTACTCGACCCTCGTCAGAAGCATAGATCTTGAGATCATGGCGGAAAGTGCTATGAAGACGAAGCAGCCCACAACCAGGAAAGCCAGCATAGTCACCTGGAGGCCATGGGGAAGACCAGGAATGGACTGCTATAAATATCCACGTGGAAGAAAGAATGCCCATGCACCTGAAGTTTCCACGTTGCCTTTGTCCCTACATTTTCCCAACTTATTCTCTAATCATTTTATCTCACCCCTGCTAGGTATTTACCCCACAAAACATTTACCTTGTCCTCCAGGGTACATGCAGCGAAAAGCTCTTCCCAGCTCCTCAGCCTGAACTCGGCCAGCAGGAGTCAGCTCTCCACCCCACTTCAGTACCAGCAATAGCGAAGGGGTCAGAGCCTCCCCCTGCAGGTCTGTAGGAATGAGGGACAGATCTCAATCTAAGGAAAATCGTGGGGACATCTAAACATTAGTTAGATCTCCTAAGACCCCAGGAAAGAAACGGGGTGTAGAGTTCATCTAAGGGTTCAAAAATTTAGAGATTTGAGTGGTAAAGGGAAGGCAGTGTTATAGCTTACCTTGCCCCTCATTAGAAGCCTTTACTCCATGAGGGTAGTAAGTCAACTGCACCTTCCGGTTGATGCCTGAGAAGTGACCATACCTGCAGGACAAACCCACAGTTTACTTCCCAGACCAGTACACAATCCTCATTGTTATGGGCTCCCTTTCCTATTCCCTTTCTCACATCTCCAGCACAGATTTCAGCTGTTCTAGTTTTCCAGTCTTCTCTTCGATTTCACCACCTGGTTCTTTCTCTAGTTCAGCCAGAAGCAGTCTTGTGATGTCCAGCACCTCCTGGAGGAATAACAGGGTGTTCAGACAGAAAGCCAAGTCCCAGTCAGTAACCCTTTCATCCTAATTTCTTTCAAGGCCCCAAATCCTAAACCCTCTATCTTGCTCATAGCATTGCTCCTCCCAGTCAGATTCACCACCTTACCTGCAGCTGCTCAGGCCGCTTTAATTTTAACTTCCCTGTCTTGTAGCCACCGTGTTTTTCAAATAGACTAAAAAACCTGAAGAACAAGAAGCTTCAGTGTGGAGTGAGAGAGTTAAAACCTCTGTAAGCTGCCCCCTCTCCTTCCTCCCTGACAATAGCATACTTATCTAAATTAGGACATTCATCCTACCTTGGGTGTGTAACCTCCATCTTCATCTTCTGTTTGGGAGTACGATCCCCATGGCGGATAATTGCAATGACACAACGAAGTTCCATCCTAAGATAGAGAAGATTGTTAGAAACTCTCCTCTACCTTACCCCACACTGTCTTCTGTCATCTTATCCTATTTGATATGCCCAAGAAGAGAGAAACAACAACCTGAGATCAGGAATAAAGATAAAATGAAGGAAACTGCCAAGAAGAGATCCAGACTACTTTCCCAGGTAGTACAGGGTCAGAAAGTGACCACTGATTTAGTGATTAATCAAGTTATCCCAGATGTTTTACTGTTACTCACATAGTCCCAGATGTGGTAGGGACAATGGGAATGTCCTCAGCTTCTGTGGGGATAGACCATGGGATCTGGAACTGTGGGGCAAGCTCTCGCATTATGGTATTTCTAGGAGAAACACAAAGAGACCATGTGAAAATGAATGCATCTGACCTATGTATGTGAATGAAGGTTACAAAATCCAGTAAGTTGTATGAGAATGTATTTGTATAAAATCTATGAAAAGGCTCCTATAAAAAATTAAAAATTAAAAAAACGAAAAAGGCTCCTCTTTTTAAACTAATCTAATGATACATTTAATATAATAAAATATTAATAAATGCATAGGAAGGACAAACCTCACATTAAAGATTGTGGTTTTCCCTGGGCGAGAGGGAAGGGGAAAAATTAGGGAGGGTATTAGGGGTTTCAAATGTATCCTTGTGGCCTCCTTGGTAGCACAAAGGATTAAATCAGTGCTATCATGCTATCAGCAGCCACTGTAACATGAGTTTCAATTCCCAGCCAGAGAGCTGAGCCACAGGGCATAGGCCACAGCAGACCTCGTCTCACTGCTGCTCCCCTCAGCAGTATATTTCAATAAATCTGCTTGCTCTCTGTCCTTACTGAACCCTCTCCATGCGACCCCCCCCAACACTTCTGGCCTATACCCCAGTTCTTGTATGGGGTTCATGAATAAATAAATCTTCAAATGTATCCTGTTTATTTTATTTCTTATCTTAAGATTGGTGGTAAGTACATGGATGTTCACTATATTCATCATCCTTATGTATTTCTGAATATTTTAAAAATTATATGAAGAATATTTCAGTCAAAGTTATAAAACAGTAGTATAGTAAATCACATCTAGTAAAATTGTTTGTAACTGGAAAAAAAGGACATACCTTTGTATGTAAAACTATTAGCAGTAATTCTCTACAACTGTAGTGTTGAGAAAGCCAGGAGGTTGAACAACCCCTTGTTTTTTTACTTTTTAATCATTTTAACAATATTTAAAATAAATTAAAAGGTTTCAAACTCTCTAAGCCCATTCTTCCCAGCCCAATGTGTCCCTTACCCCAAAATCTTGGCACAGTCATCATAGTATTTCATTGAGTTCTTGACAAAACTGAAGCCATTAACATCACACACAAAGGAGTGACCATTGGCACGAAGAAGGTCAAATCCACAAACTGTTTGCTGTAGTAGAAAGAGGCAAGGTAAGAACAAGAGAGTTGTTCTTTCTTACCAGGCCCCTGTTCCTGTCTCTCTCCACAACCCACTATGGGCCTGCATTCACCTTAAAAGCTACGCAGACTTTCCTGGCGACTAGCTTTTCCATGGCGGTCAGCATGACTGGATAGCGGATCTCTTTCCCTTCACTGTCTCGTTCGACCTTCCCATCCAAAGCAGGAGACTTTCTGGCTTCAGCATGAGCATAATCTGGCCCCACTGTATACACCTGTGCAAGTACACAGCATCAGTGAGTATGCCTACAGCTCACCCTGCATGCAAGAAGACAACATAAGCTCTAGGTCTGTTGACTAGTTTCAGAGTAAAAAAACAAAACAAAGAGACTGACATTTTCCTTATTGAGTTCTACATATCATTATGAAGATGTCTTCCTAGGATTCCGGCACTATCATATAGTCCTTATTAAGAAATAACTTACCGATATTATGCCACATTCCATGTCACTCTTGCCCTTGCTCTGACAGTGACAAAGTCAATGCCTACTTCCCCCATTTGCTATTTTCACAGGAATAGGAAAGCCATCACACTCACACTTAATTTTCTATGACCCCCCCCAAAGATTTCCACTTGCTTTCCAAGAACCCATTCCCACCCATTTATAATCTCTTAAATCTGTTTCCACCATAACCTTGACATCTGTGCCATCCGTTGGCATAAACTCCTCATAGATATATGACCCTGTCTTTCGGACGCTGCTCTCAGGAGAGTATACGCTGCTTCGGCTTCCAATCTTGAGGAGGAAAGGAAGAAAAAAAATGTTACCTCTCTCTTTCCCCAAATCCTCCAGCTCCCCTCCCCACAATCCCAATCTTGTGTTTATACCTAAGACCCCAAATGCTCAAATGCCCACCACACCTTACGGAAAAGGCGCTGGCTTCCTCCTCCAGCTGAGCTGGGGTAGTAGATGTAAACATTGTGGTCCTCTGCACTCACTGGCTTCTCCACAAAAGGCTTGGGAAAGACAGCTCCATTGACCTCTACCTGGTCTTCACCTTCTATCAAGTTGCACTCTAAAAGGCAGGTGTATAGTCATTCTGAGGGCTTTGGATTGAGGAGTACTTCCAACTCCTACTCCTCAAATTTCTATGAATATATCTTATCTATCTTAAAATAGATATAGTAATATCTACATAAGGTATATAGCTGTAACACTACCTACAAAGGAAGTTCAAGGCTCTGCTCTCAGTCTCTGTTCTCATATGGCCCTGATTCTACCCATAATCCAATAACCAAAGTATTGGTTATTATATTTATCAAAATACTCACTTTGAGAAATGGTACCTAGGAGATGTCTAAAGGTTGGCAAAATGGGCAAAGTCATAGAAAAAATGGCAGGGAGGGTAGGACTGGACAAAGTGAAGCACTCACCTTCAGGCCGTGCAGGGTCACGATTGAGCACAGCATACCGAGGCAAATCAATACCCTCTTCCTGAAGGATCCGGTACACCTCTCTCCTGTCACCAATATAAATTAGCTGGGAGGTATGGGGGATGGTGGAGAAACTAGGGATCTCATTTATCTAGAAATTGGGAGATACTAGGGCACAGAACTCAGAGGATCTAGTCCAAAAAGGAAACATGGATGTTTGACTCTATCCTCCCAGAGAGGATTTTCTTGACTAGCACGATTCTCAGGGCCACCCCTCCCACAAACCAACAAAAAGCTATACCTATCCTGGATGTAATACTGCATTGCCAGGTCATTGATAAGAAAGGGGTTTCGAAGTTTGGAGTATGCAACAGCTTTGTCCAGAGGAAAGCCTGGGATGGAGAAAGGAAACAGAGAGCGAAGGTTTAAGAAACAAGTAAGAAAACAGCAAAAGAAACAGATATATTAAATTTATTATTAATTTCCACTGAAGTCTACCCATACAATCCATCATCTTTCTGTGTAACTCCCCAGGTCTAGACTATCCAACAGGAAAAAAAATGAAGAAAAATTATTTTTAGGGTCCTCCTGGAGATAGTAAGAACCTCAGAGCTGTCCTGAGGTTATAAAATGGGCTTTGAACTACTCCCAGAAAATCCTTCAAGCTGCAGGAAAAGCAAATCCTTTTGTGCTGTCCTCAAGTATGTCAGGACACATAGCAAGAACTTTATTTCCCAGTCTAGCATTCCCAACACCATGCTTTCCCAGACCCCACCTTTAGAGTGGAAAGAGATAAGGCAGTGACAAGATGGCCAATTTTCCACAGGTTCATTAAGGATCACATCTTCTCCCAGGATGATAACAGTCAAATAATCAAATCTGCAGAGTCGCTCTAAGATTTGGGTCATTGGCTTGGACTTTGATTTCTTGGTCATAGCACAGATGCCAACAATGATTTGAGGCTCAGGAGGCTACAGAGAGAAAGTACTGTCAGAAACTCAGCAAGATTGTATCTAGACAACCCTACTGGGGAACACTGATGAGATCTCCTTACGCCAGAAAATCTTGTCAGGACTTTGGACATATAAGGCAAAGGTTGACTCTTATCTCTGGTCTAGATTGGGGACTCTAGGAGCCTCTAGAGTTCCTACTGCTTATAGCAGTCTGAAGACTCTCAGGCTGAAGAATCTGAGAACAAATAACCTCAGACCACAGAAGAAGAGAGTAAAGACAGGGACTTTGGTCCCAGTTTCCACTTACCCACCCTGTGAACTAACCAATCGATTTCCACTTACCCACCCCTTGATCAGGATCAGGCCAGTTTAAGTCTGTGCATTTGGAAAGAAGAGCTTAATGTCTTCATCCAAAGGAATCTCAATTCACTATTACCAGGATTCCAACACAATGGAGTCCCAAACATCATTTTCTCTACTCTTACCACTTCATCCTCCTCGTCTTCAAGGAGCTCGCTGTCACTCTCTTCTGTCCTCATGCCTATTCCACGGGTGCCCAGCCCCTCATCTCCAGCTCCAAGGAAGAAGTGGGCTGTGGCTCTCTCGCCCTCACTGGCCGGCAATGACCACATCCCCGCTGGAGTACCCACTCATCCCGCTCTGTAGCAGAGGGTATCCCATCAGCTCATTAGCTTAGAACCCAAGCCTCCCGCTCCCCGCCCCCACCCTCCCCACTATCACTTATACCATCCCCCTCCACCCCGGTACTGGCAGAGGGTAGGGAGGTGGGGGCGGTCAAAAAATGAGAAAACAAGAGAGAACAACAAACTGGTGGGAACAGGAAACAATATCATGAGAAGAAGGAACGACAGGATAGGAGGCATGTAGGGCAGTGACTTGCAGTGGCTAAAGTGCCGGTCTTACAGAAAAGCAGTCTTTCCTTTCCTTCCCAATTCCTCCCACCCCCAACCAGGAATATGGTAAAAGGATCAGATGATTAACCCTTACAGTGCTGGCATGTCCCCTATTTTGCCAGCAGGAAACACTGTTAACTCCAGCAGCAAGTGGGAAAAGGCAGTTCTTCATGAAAGGCTACTGTTGATTCCTAATAGAAGAGAAGGTTAAAGTGACATTTCAAACTTTGGATTCATTCCAAAACGTTCCTAGCCCTTCTCCACGCCCCCCTCCCCAGCAGTTTAATTCAAGGGCAGAGGAATGAGACGCTCAGCTGCCTTTGCCCTTACCCCCATCTTCATTTCTACTAAGAAGTAACTCAAAAAAACATTTATGGATGGTACCTTATGTTCTAAGCATTATGTCAGAACATTAAAATCTCTATGCCTCCTGTCTCTCCACCTGCTCCACAGACAGATGCCCAAGTCCAGAAAACATGTTTATTCAAGGAAAGAGATCTAGTGCTGGTGAGAAAGATCTAGTGCTGTACAGTCATCTGTACAGTTTCCAACCCTTCTTAAACTGAAGTTTCAATTTCTCTTTACTATCTCCTGGTACTAAAGACCCAAGTCTCTCTCAGCCAAAAATCCCTCACACCATAAGTTACAGTGGGGAAAAAAGCCTGCTGAGAGCCATAATCAACAAGAATATCTTAAGACTTAAACTTGAATTATAATAACCTGGCAGTTTCACACACATGCATTTTTCTTTTTTTTTTAAATGGCAGTAACAGTTACATTATAACATTACATAAATTCCAGAATGCAGCATTAAAAATCAACATGTGGGGCCCTCCCTGGTGGTGCAGAGGGTTAAAGCACTGCACTAAGAAGCTAAAGCCACTGCACATGACTTCCATCCCAGGGCCCAGAGATGACCACATGGTGTGTGAAGCAGACCTCTTCTGACCACTCGCTGCTCCCCTCAGCAGTGTACTTCATCAGTCAGCCTGTTCTGTTCTCCACTCTGTCTCTGGTGAATCCTCTCACTGTCCCTGTACCGCTGGCCTGTATCCCAGTTCTGTATACATAAATAAATAAATCTTTTAAAAAAATTTCAGCATGTTAGAACAGTGGTTCTTAACCGATTCTGATTATGCTGTGCAGAAGACATTTTGCAAGAGAAATTTTTGATTGTCACAAGTGGGAAGGTGTTATTAGCCTTCAGTGAACCTCTAGAGACCAAGGGTACTGTTAAACATTCTAAAATGCATTCGATTTGAGCTGCCCTGTTCTGTCCCTGACTGTCTCTGGTGAATCCTCTCACCAACCCTTTACCCCAAACCTGCAGTCTACACACAGCTCTTCTATGCAAAAATAATAAAATCTTTTAAAAATAGGGCCCTCCCTGGTGGCTGGCCCAAGGGATTAAGGCACCACGGGTTAAGGAGCAGCACTGCAAGCTAGCCCGCAAACTAGCAGCTAGCGCCTCAATGGGAGTTAGATCTACTCCCACTCCCCCACCCCCGACCCCCACCCCGGTGATACACGTGGTGCAGCAGACCTCTCCTGTCTCTCCTGCTGCTCCCCTCAGCAGTGTACTTCATTGATCTGCCTGTTTTGTACTCCATTCTGTCTCTGGTGAATCCTCTCACCTCCCCTGCACCTCTAGCCTGTACCCCAGTTCTTGTATACATAAATAAATCAGTCTTAAAAAGAAAAGAAACAAAAAGCCAGTTTATTTTTTAAATTTTTAAATAATAATAAATAGGGCCCTTCTTGGTGGAGCAGTGGGTTAAAGCACAGCACTGCAAGCTAGCGACAGCCGCTCTGGGATCCCTGGCCCAGGAGGTGAACCACATGGTGCAGCAGACCTCTCCTGGCCTGCCAGTTGCTCCCCTCAGCAGTATACTTCATGGATCTGCCTGTTCTGCTCCCCACTCTTTCTGGTGAATCCTTTCACCCTCCACACCTCTGACCTGTACCCCAGTTCTGTATGCCTAAATAAATAAATCTTTAAAAAATAAAAATAATAATAAATAAAGAGGCCTTGCCTGACAGTGCAATGGGTTGGGTTAAAGCACAATGCTTCACCACAAGTTTGATCCCCCATCCCTTGCCATCCCTCCCACTGCTCAGCTCAGCCCTGTACTTAGTCATTCGGCCTGTACTGCTCCCTACTTTGTGTCTGGTGAATCCTCTCACTGCCCCTGCACTTCTGGCTTGTAACCGAGTTCTGTATGCATAAATAAATATTCTTAATCAAAAAATAATAATAGTAAATAAAAAGACATCCAGTTTCCTACAGCTAAGAGTTATCAGGTCCAAAATGTAGTAGCGACTAGGTTAAGAAACCCTATCATAGAGCAACTCTCCCACATGTAGCATGTGCAAGGATATTCACAACCTGCTGGTCATAAGAAAAACTGAAAACAACTCAGATGTCAAATAAAGAATGAATAATACAATGTTGTACATACAAATCACAGACTAAAAGCAATTTTAAAAAATGAATCAGTTATATGTAAAAACAATGACAGCTTTGCAGTAAGTTGCACATATAGACATACAGTTCAACTCAATCTGTATAAACAAAAATATTATATGCCCATGAGTGCATATGTAATTAGTGTAAGTATAAAAACATGGAATAAAAAGAGAGACATCAAATTTATGATGAGAGGAAAGAACAGAAAAGTTTGAATGAAACTTTATAACCTATCTATGTTTATTTCAATTTTAAAAGAGATCTGAAGCAAATATATGAAGGCTAACATTTGTTAGTACTGAATTATGGAACTATGAGTGTCAGATACTATTTTCCAAAAATAAAATTGAGTCACACATCAGCAATTTTCCTGTCTCCAAAACATACTGACCAATGACTAACAAAAGCCATAAATTTCTTAAGTAAATGGACTTGTTTATAGTCTTATAGACTTTTAAAAACTTTCAATAATTACTTTCTGAATTTCTATTTTATGCCCTTCTATCACAAGTGGGGTTACAGCTTTGATTAGAAAATTATAGCTGATCTTTATATAGACCTCGACCTTTGCAGACTTTGCCATCTGCTGTCTCCATTGCTCAATAACTAAGGGGGCAAAACATTCTCCTCAGACCCAGTATTTCCACTAATGTACTATCAGTCTTATCCATACATCTTCCCTCCTAGCTAATATGCTATTTCTTTGAACTCCTTTTTCAGTGACTTGACCCAATTTGAATAGCTGAGGCATTCGGGATGTCCCTGTACAAATTTAAGCAAGCAGAATTTTGTTGCAGTCTTAATCCTTTCTCTAAGTCAGGAGCTTACTGTCCTGTCTAAAATTCCCAACGCTTTTTCTGTCAGTAAATAATTGCTGGTTTTCTACTTAATGTATAGCCAAATCCTTGAAATTCTACTATAGTTCTCTAGCGGGGGATGGTAATGGAACAGGGAAGGAAAATTTGTTCACAAATATGGGGCTGAAGAGGATGGAAGGTCTAAATTCACAATTAACCCAACAAAAACAAAAGCCTGACAGAAATAACTACGCAATAAGGCAAGATTTATCTAGATGTACCTCTGGGAGAAGCTGAGGTTCAATGTAGAGTTACAAGAGACACTCTCCTGTTTTCTGTGTTGTTCTTCCCTTCCCCCTCTCCCCTAATACTTTGTTGCAAAAGAAGACTTCAGACTCTACAGTAGGCTAAAGGGCAGAGTCTTACTCTGGCCGGGATCAACGTGGAAAGGAGGATGGGAGGGAGAGAAAAAAAGAGAGGAAAGAGGTTGATAAGGACAGGGGAGAGGCAGGTGGGTAACTGGTTCAGGTACAAGCACGTTAAATCAGATCTCAAGGGGAGGTGAACTGTGCAACTTCTTTATCCCTTAGAATTTAGCGCCGCTTGCAGTAGCCTCTAATTTCCTAAATCACCATGCACTTGTTGAAGACCTCCATGAGTTAGAGAAGGGGAAAAACATTAGTACAGATCCAGGCAGTATCTCCGTGGATTCAAGCTGTATATTCAAACACAGTATCTCCGTCCCATCCACAACAAAGGACACTCAGTTCCTCCATAAAGTCATTTTTAATCCTTCGTACAATCTTTTTTTAACTGATGATCTGTGGTGCTCTCCTTGTTCTCGGTGACTGCCTCCTTCACCCAGTCTGCTAAAGGGTCCTCATTGATTCCCCTGTCTGCCCCTCTCACTGGCCGACTAATCCCACAGATAATCCAACAGATCCTCTCACCCACCGATTCTCCAGCACTCAAGAAGCCTTCAAACCCTCAGATGAGTCACCACACTTGCTAGCAGATTTATATTAAACCCATGACGATCCCACACAATGACTGCCTGGGATCCATTCTTTCCTCACACCACCTCTCTTCTGCAGACTCTTTTCTCGGCAACAACCCCTTCCCACCAGCTGATCCTCTCCCTCGTCGTCTCCACTCCCACCCCTCCCCACGCAGATCTCCCCACCCTGCCCTCTTCCCACGCAGGTGCCCCTCTTCTTCACGCAGACTCTCACACACGCATCTCTTCGCCCGCTGACCCCTTCTCGTCCTCTTCCCACACAGCTCCGGGTCACGAATACCGCCCGCGGGTTCTGACTCCACTAGCCTTTGCCCGCCCCCGCCTTCCCCGCCTCACTCTCCAAACGCTGACAGAGAGGCCTCTGCTTTGCCTCTCTCCGAAGCAGCCCCCAGCGGGCACTACGTTCGGTCCTCCGCCCCAAAGGAGCCCACTTCCACACAGCCCACCCCCTCAGATACCGCCCCCAG